AAATTTTTAATTTCTTCTTAATTTTTAGTTTCTTTAATTTTTTTCATGATCTTAATTTGTCTTATTAATTACATTATTTCGTTTCTAAATTTATTTTTTACTGTATTTACATTGTATCCTTTGCCTTTTGGTATGGCTTACTTTATTAAATCAACATTCTTTTTTATTACTATGTACAATTTAAAAATTTAAAAATTTGATACGCAGTTAGTTATAACTTTATATTTCACAATCACACAATATAGAGTTAATGAAAAGCTACCTTGTTTTATTATTTTTTGAAACATATAGCTTATAGAAGGATATTACACGTTGTAACTACAACATATTAATTGCTTCCACGTGCCAATAATATCAGTGATAGCTGACACCAATAACAAATATCATTGCGCAGATATTATACCGGTTATGTCAAATATAAAATATATCACGTAATTTTTAAAAAAATTCAATTTCAATGCTGCCAAATACTGATATGAAATTTATCATTTCATGCAAGAAGAACTCATCTGATAACATTATGTGCTTCACTCTTTTCGAATTTCAATTAGAATCTATTTACTAATTGCAGTTATTAATTTTATATTTTTACGATAAATTAAATCTTTTTTTGAAATGCGCGACCTAATAATGAAACGATGACCCGTTTTATGTGTTTGAAATAAACCGCTCGCAAAATTCGTAGAATTGCGTCGCCAGATCGAAGATCGCGCAGATCCCTAGAGTGAGATTTGGAAAACTTGTTGGAACGCAAGAATGTCTCTTGGGAGACGCTGTTCTCTCGTTTCGTTCTCACAGAGACGATCAGACTTTCTGACTCAATAGAGAAAATGATGCCTACACATGTATTCCATTTAGAGATACAATTACGTGACGATGAAACCAATTATTGTACAAATATGATTCCTCCCTGTATATTTCAACTTTTATATAATAAATACGACTTTGTAGATATTGTTCCCAGTTATCTCTCATGTTTCAAAGATGGTGTTCTTATTGTGTAACGTTAAAGTTATTATAAAACATAGAGAATTTTAGAAATAAAAGTTAAATAATCATATGCCATTTTTTAAATAACATTTGTTAACTGCGTACGTTTCCATTATTTTTGAAATGTATAATCCATTTCGTGTCGATAAGATCCTAGTTTTATACTAATTTGTACGCTATATGGCAAACACGGAAAATAACGAAATCCTATGGAGAAATGAAAGAACCGACCTATATAACAGACACCGCAATAAAAAGCGGAGCGTAACTTCGCTGAGTGAAAACGTGTAGGGAAAAGGACAAGAAAAACAATTTTCACGCTCACGTCGGAAGCTTAAAGAAGACATTTGCATCCCGACTCTCGTATTGAAACGTTCAGCGTTTGTTCGATTTGCGTGATTCATGGATTCTTGTATGCGCCACCGGGAAAGTTGTAACGAGCTGACACGGCGAATTGGCATACGGATTTATGCAAATGGATTTGCGCGGAATACGAAGGAAGCGGGGATTACCGGCGAAGCGGACTCGCGTGAAATCGTGCATTATGCACACCGTTATTACAATAATTCATTATAATTTTTTCGAGCGCTAATAACCGCGACGTTGAGTTTATTACCTAATTACCTTCGGACAAAGTATGGCAGTCTCGTGCAGCGTCGCTTCATGCATATTGTCAAGCTTCTAGAAAATTCAAAACTATTTTCGCGTTGAAATGTACTTAGAGTACTCTCCCATCATGGCGACGAAATGACATAAACTCTAATTTATTGAAGTGGAATGCGACCGTGCAATCGATAAGCGATAAAACTCATTTCGATTTCTATCGTTGATATGTCCGATCATGGCTTGCAAAAAACGATAATTTATTATTTTACGTGGAAATATCGAATATTTATCATACGACGAAAAATGATAGCAGCTATTAATATACGGTTATTATAAAGCGTAGATATCGCCGGAAGATCTCATCTATAATTTCTGCAACGTGATAATAGTCGAAGCTATTCGATAATAATAAATCTCTTATTTACCATGAATTTGACAGAAATATATATGAAATTTGTTCACAGAGAGTAAAAATTATTTTTTCTGAATGACAAAATTATTAATTGATATAAATTCAATACAAATAAAATTTTATTGACTTGTTAGCTGATTCTCGTGAAGATATATATTGACGATTAATTGAAACGCACAAAGAATACTTGAAATTCACTCGAACAAGTTAAGTTCGCTCGTGAATTCCAATTACTGTCCGCATTACTTTTTCCAATTTAAGCATACGCTGCTTCTAGTTTGGACTTTAAAATGACTCGGGCCTATCGCAATTTCGGCGCAAAATAGAGATCCGCGTCAGGAATGTATATTCGTACAAGAGGTCGTTTATTCAGTTCTTATGCCGGCATTCGAATCACCACATATCTCAATTCCATGCTGCAATCTATCAAGCATTGAAATCTTTCATACTCTTGTTATAAAAGTTTTAATTAGATATTAAAAAATTTATCTTCAAAAATGTTAGAAAGCACGTTATGAAAAATATCCACTTTAAAATTAAAAGACAATAACAGCTTTTTTTACAGGCACACAGTAATTATATTTTTTTCAGAAACATTAGCGCTTTTTTTTAAACCGAGTCTTAACTTTGTTTTTTAAAAAGAAGAAAAAAAAGTTGCGAGAAATAAATATTTAAAGATAATCTGAAATATCTTTGCATGTCTCTTGTGAAAGTTAACATAAAATATACTGTTAATAAATATTAATAAATTTTTATCAAAGTTGCAAGGGGCAAGGATTGTGAATAATTTAAAAAATGCTTTCGTACTATTAAACGAAAAGATTAGCTAAATATATAACGATAATTTTCACACTGTTAATTTTTAGAACATATTTGTCGGAAATGTTTTAAATTTGTTTGCTCGAATAACAAATTAATTTACTTTCGCAAATGAAAAACTCCATTGCAGATCACGAAAAATGTAGTTTGTAGAAAACAAGTCCACAAAAACTAGAATTCGTTGAACATTTGCTAAAGCTTTTGTGAGTGCCAGAACATATTCGAGGTAGAATATGTTACATGAGAATATGGTACAGCCACAAATGCAATTTGGAAATTACTTTGGGCATTGCGATAATTTAATTTACACCGTTTGTCGACATGCTGTTACCTCCATTTTCATCACACATTTTTAGATTGCTCGTGAATTTTTGTTGTCAGAGCAACTGCTTGTAATTACAGCTGCTTGTAAGAAAAATGTCCATGAGAAGAAAATATGAAGCAAGAGCTATGGTATTTTACTAATCTCGAGAATATATATTTCAAAATATGCGTTTTGAGTATTTTTTTTTGTTTTAACAAGGCGACGGATAGATGAAACGTTTAGCTCGCGAACCAAGTTTTGGACAGATCTATTTTAAAAATTAGGTAGATCGTTTCTATTTTTCCGCTCCTTACAATACCTTATTTTCTACAAAAATCGATATTATTTACAGTCATATAAATATAAGGAAAAAATTGCTTAAATAGTTTCACGCTTATTGTTAATAGCGATAATGCATCGCATATTTCAGTATCAATTAATGAAGTGATCGATAACAGGATCGGCTTTGATTTAGTGCAACAAGAAGCATCTTTTAGCAATGACTAGTCAAGCGTATTAACGTCTGATCGTTAGAAGGATTTTTAATGCGATTTACTGCAGCGACTCGTGTCCCCAACAATAAATATCGGTTATCGAGCTTTCAGCTGTGGAATATCACGCGTTGTATCGGGTGTCACGGTTCGGACTATGACGTATGGTGTGCAAAATGGTGTTGTCGTATATTAAAGAATTATGATCTTAATCACGGTTTACACATAAATGCAATTTGTGTGTTGAAACTTCGCTATATTTTTGTACAGTGATTATCAATATTAAAAACAACTTCATATGCGAAATAAAAACTTTTCATTCTGACAATATAAATTCTACTCTTTTCATTATGAATCTTAACAATTAGTTAACGATTTTGTTTGTGGTTGCCAATAAATACGAAAATTTTATTAAAATTTATGTAAATTAATATATTTTAAACGTTTTCTTTAACAAATTTGAAATTGAGAATAAAATTTCTCGATCCATTCTCGATTTTTATAATCGAACTAGAGATGCATTAATCGTTAGATAATTTCTAAAAATTCCATCTAAAAAATAATCTTATTAGAATATCATGTGCGAATCTCTCACAACTGTTAAAACCCGCGAGGAAAATTAATTAAAGTTTCTACATTCCCTCTTATTACTCTTTCGTACTTTTCTCGAATGCTCGTGGAAAGTCTTTTTTTCACAAAACATTTCATTTTTAATAGTTTTTTTAATTAAATTTATTGGATTCTTGTTAAATGATCGCGTTAAAATACATATGACGAATTGTTATTACAAAATGCATTTGTTTAAAAACGTGTGACACATATAACAGATAATATTTTTTTTATTACAAAGTGCAATAAAATAACATTCATCAAGATTAAAATTAATAGAAAGAAGTTAAAATCATTTTTTACAAATATTTCTTTCTTAATCTTGTATTAAAAGTACATATAATTTTACTCAATGTAAAAATGGCAATCATATTAAAATAAAAATGACATTAAACAGGCTGCGATTTTAAAAGTATAAAAATGTTTATTCCATCAAAAAAATCGTTTTTCATTATAATATGTATTATGTATTAATTTCGAATAAAATCTTTTCTTTAAATTGCTTTCCATTCAATAATTATTTCACGCACCAAATGACGCCAATGAATCTAACATTAATTCACGCGTGCATTAATTTATTCAGAATTTGCTACCAAATAATAACCTTGATTACCTATCAATCTATACACGGTATTTCAATTTAATATCATTATGATAATTTAATATCGCCAGGTTAATTAGTTGTTCGAACTGTCAACATTGAACGACACGCAAATTTTGCCACGATTAAATGCAATTTAATAGAAACTATTGACGTTTATGTTTTCAGAAGTGGTATACGATTTGATGGAGGCATCGGTGTCATCGATGACGGACGATAATAATCTTTACATGGACGATGGTGTGGATGGATTTCCGGCGTTTGGCTTCCGACCCGGCTCCGAAGTGAAGCAACCCTACAGATTATACCTTCCGGAAAAGTTGCCAGCCGAGTTCACCCTGGTGGCCACGTTCAAGCCGACCTCCTTTAGAACGAGCTACCTCTTCGCCGTCCTTAATCCCTTCGAAACCGTTGTCCAATTGGGCATTAGAATTTCGGTAAGCTGCACATAATATTTGAGCTCTTTGAGCCTCCAACTTCGCTAATAACCGAGACAAACGTCAAACGTAACGATCAAATTATCTTTTGCGAGTCTCTAAGATATTTCTATTGAAACGACAAATTATCTTTTGCGAGTCTCTAAGATATTTCTATTGAAATACGAGAAAATGTGATTTTATTAAGGGCTATTAGCGGGCGCTGCTAAATTAGCAAAACGTAATGCCAGAGAAAATAATAGCGTATAAGATGGAGGAGCAGATGTCTTGCGGAAATGAGAGGACGAGCGTGAAATATGACGTCATATTAAATCATGAAGGAATCCGCTTTAACAGCTGAGTGATTACTAGCTCTTTACATGCGCTTTATCAAAGCAGCTGCGCGATATTCTTATGACACTATACGTTTTATGAATAGATAAATGTCATTTAAATGAAATAAGACTATCTTTATACCGTTAACAATGTAAATTTATTCTTTTTCTATAATAACTTCCCTTTTTCTTCTTACTTCTCAAAGAATATTTTCCCTTTATATTATAAATAAAATTGTTATAAATTTAAAGTATGTTAAAGATAAAATCTTTCATCTTGAAATTTCTTTTTCCATCGTGTGATGTCGTTTTCATAACGTGCCATGTATTCTGATGTGTTCTGATGTGTTCTGATTAAGCAACTTGAAATATTCTAAATGTATCGTGAAAGCTTCGAAAAATAATTTATAGTTATTATTGCCCACAATATAAAACTAAGTAAAAATGTTGTTAGAATATGCAACTTTTTAAGCTTGCTTTTTATAAAATAATTTTCTTAAGAACTCACTTTACACGATTAAAATCTTGATTTCAACGCGTCTTATCAATGCGATATCTTATACATACTTATTAAACACATACATTATTTCCACTATTTTTTTATAATATCAAATTCGTACAAGAAGGATTACATTTTGATAAGATTACGATTAGAATACGAAGCATCGAGCTGGATCAATAAGCTTGATATATTTCAACTATATCGTAGGACGGACCCGGCTCGAATCAGAATGTCTCGCTAATCTATACAAACTCGGACGAGCATTCACATTCGGAGGAGGTGGCGAAATTTACCGTGCCGAAGCTTACGAAGAAATGGTCAAAGATCGTCATTAAGGTCTCCATCAACGACGTCACCTTTTACCTCAATTGCCACGAGATGGCTCGGCAGAGGGTCACCAGGATCCCCCAGGAATTAGTATTCGACACCGCCAGCACGCTGTACATCGCACAGGCCGGGCCGCACATTCAGGAACGATACGACGTGAGTACCGTGCACGCCCTTTGCCCATCCGTTTTTACGAAAAAAATGGACGCCGCAAGCGTTCGTGCGTGGCGCAACGAAGCGAAACGCACAGCGCTTGTTGGTACTGGACTGTTTTTCATGGAAATCGACATAGTTCCGTTTTGCAGCCGAGTACGCGTAACGAAGTAGCGCGAATAAACAGGCTCGCGTGGATCGAGATGCAGTTCCTTTTCGGCGACTCGGCTGACATGAAACAGGCAATTCACGCGAAAGTGTGAAATGCTCGCGGTACTTACTACTTACGACAGCGTAAAGTAGTATCGTTTCGCCACGTCTTTCCTAAACATCATTTTCGTCTCGTTTCGGATATTAATTTCTTATTTGCAAAATACGAAAACATTTTTTTTTTTTCAAAATAAAACTGGAAGATACATTTCACTCGTCCAATCCTCTTCTGCATTTCGATGATGCTAAATTCATTTAAAGATTTTATATATTTCATCTCACGTTTTCTTTTACGCTATCAAATTTTTCCTCGAGACGAAAATGATTTGTTTGGAAATTTGTATCAAATTTTTTTTATATGTATATTTAATGTATTACTGTTTCACGAGTTTCGTTGCATTAAGAGGGTCAGTCATAAAACAGACTGCCATGGGATTAAGACTGACAAATCACAGAAGTAAATCCATGCTAGTCCATTCTTTAAGAATTTAATACCGTATTCGATATCCTGATAAAATAAGTAAAAGGGAGCTAAAAGAGAAGACGGTACGAATGCGGAGAATGGAATCAGATGAGGAGTAGTGGATTTAAAAGAAGTGAAATGGGTACGAAATACCTTATCGAAATCCTATATATTGACGTTATAGATCTGTTGTCTCAGTTTCCGCTATTGCTCTCTCAAAGAACACTCAAGTAGTTGGCGAGACATCAGACATCAATGAAAATCGAAAGATTTTCACCAGTAGCCATGTATTTGAGAACAGTTTTATGATCGAATAATATAAATAAATAAAAAAAAAATATTTTATCACTTCTATTACTTTCTTTCCGATATATTGACATTTTTATGAATATCAAATATTTATGTTTCTCAATAATTTAATATCAAACAATCGTGATAACTTTTAAAAATTTTACTCAAATATGTTACAAAAATGTTTTAACTTTAACTTCATAAAAAAATTTTAATTTTAAAAATGTTAAATTTCAAGTAATAATCAAATCAATCAAAAGTCAATAAAATCAATAAAATCAAAAGTCAAATCTACTCTTCCGTTTGACAGATTGTTTTACTATCAGTGACTCAGAGTGCAATATTTTATTATTTATTATTTACTATAGCAGTAAAGTAATAATGTAAATTATAATATATTAAAATTCTGTATAATAAATATGTTGAATGGAAAAGTAATTATAAGAATATATAAATAACGTAATGAAATTCCGAAATAATAAGACTGATTTAAATGAATTTTGACGATTGTACAATCGTATGTTAATGAATGTGAAGCTATGCATCTGTACATCAATCAAAGAAGCATTCTAAAGTAATAATGCTTTATATAGAATTATATTTTGTTTCAAAATAATTAATATCGTTCAGTCAAAGCGTGAGAATAGTATTTACGTGTGATCCCAGTCCTTTAGTATCTCCATATCACATTAACAGTGAGGAACAGCGTGATTACATATCGTTGATATGGGAGAGGATAATTAGTTCTCATCCTGACGCAATATGATCATCTACACAGAGACCACGTGTTGCACATCGATGCACGAAATGCATTGATTTATTCGATCCTTCATTAATTAGTTATCCACGACAATAGGCTTGGATGTATGGCGGTATTTCGAATCGGTAACGTAATATTGCTTTTATCTTGCAACGGTAATTTCTCTTGCAACAATTAATTTATGCGTTATATTAATAAAATTGCGTGAATAATTTGTATGGATTTTTTTTATAAAAGCTTTTAGTTAATACTAAATTACAAAATGCGATCATCGGGTATTAACTGATATACTTCCGAGTATAGTTTTGCGCGGACAAATGCAAAGACGTCACTTCAAACTTTAAAAGTTGCTTATTCATTTCTAAGTACTATTAAAATTGCTTATTTTGCAAAGTCGATAATTATCAGCCATCTTAGCGATGCTAGAAACTTTTTGTTTCATCATCGTGTCAATTAGTCGTATTAAGAAAATAAAAAGTATAAAATATCATTTCATTCTCTAATTTCATTTCTCTATTTTAGAATTTATCAAAATTATCAAGAAAAATTCATTTTATAATTGATTATCAACCAAGACATAACAAAACTATTGTGAAATCTGTTCCATCACTCTAATTATCTAGATAAATTAAATAGATAGGAATAGATGACAGGTGATCTCTGAATAATGATAAAGTTGCTAATGTCGATGGACAGTATTATAATTTTAATGGATTAATTTAACTTCTAGATGTAAGCTGACTTTTGTATTTTTATAAAATATTTTTAATATTATAATTATATAAAATAATAATATAAAATAATTATATAAAATATTTTAACAATTTTCATGATGTATTGTAATACATATTTAAAATATTTGCTTTCATTTTCTTGCAATTTATGATGCATTATAAAACAGTATTTACTCAATCTCACACACACACACACACACACACACACACACACACACACACACAACAAAATAAAA